TAAAATTAAATGAGAAAAAAGTAGTTTTTATATACATTTTGTTGGCTATAATACGAAAGGCGAAGTTAACACTGGATTCCGTTGAGTCAATACACTGTCGAGAATTTTCTTGAGACACATTGAACTTCAAAACTATATATTTTGTTTCGACTCTTATATTGCAAATTATAATAGTTTAGATATAAATCGGGCACTTTTTCCCGCAATTTAATGCTAATCGTTAAACTGGTCTCATATCTCGTTACGGGTGCCCACAACTGGTTCAACACTAATAACTAGTATATTAATTTACACGTGCTATTAATTATATATTTAATGCTATTTATTTTTAAAATTTTTTTGCATACTGTTATAAAATTTGACATATTATTAGCATTTTGTTTTGATAACTATTACTTTATATTATAAACTATTGATAACCCTATGTTTTTATTATCAAATGAAATATTTTAGCTATTTCAGTATTATTTCAATTTTTTGTTTGTAAAAACCATTTCAAATAGACTTTTGATATTTAAAAAATACCAGAATATTTGAAATATTTAATAGCATTTTTCGTTTCAGATATAAATAATAAATAAAACTGAATTTGTTTGTCATCCCATTCTTAAGCCAAAAAGTGTGTTATCTTTAGTTCAATAAAAATTTGAATTTAAAATTTTGCATAAAATTCTTGAGTAAATTTGAATGTGTTTTGTATTCATATCCACAAGAAATTGTTAGTATTTCTTCTTATCGTTTAATAAGATCTCAATTATTATTAAATTTTCAAAAGTGATGTTTAAAAATAAGATTTTGTTATTAGCATAATGTTTTTAGAGGACTCTCTCCTTACCTCTCCCTTTCAGTTTTCAATATCCATTTGAATTGCAATTAAAATAATCAAAATACGAGTTAAAACTCATAATTAATGGTTTTATTTGAATATAAAAGAAGAAAATATATATTTAATACGAGTGTAAAGAAAAACATGTTTTACTCTTGTTTTTATTCGCAATAAATATTAATCAAAGGGCTCTCATATACTGTACGTTATATATTAAATCCATATAAAAATTGCTGTCTCTTATGTTTGACTTTTTTATGATTATAGCCTTTAACCAAACCTTTGAACACAATTTGTGTGATTTTTTTCTCAGCCATTCTGTCGGTGCTGTGAATATTTGAAATCAATTATGAATTTTCAATTTGAAACGTCTTTGATTTAATATCAAGAAAAATATCTCATTTTTTACTGATCTTTAATATTGTGTTAACTCTTTAATTACAAGGATTTTATGTATTTATGATTATAATTATTTTTGTGCTTCACTTGTCAAACAAATCATTAATTCTCTCCATCTGTTTATCCAAATTCATTGTTTTCCGATTATTTGTTTTAATTTTCAATATAAAAGCGATAAATCATGAGAAATACAATCTCAGTATTTTTATTCCCAGCGCTTTGTTATTGTCTTAATTTATTTGACATTTTTATCTTAAATATACACACATTTAAAACAAAAATATTTTCTTTATTAAGTTTATTCATTAATTTTCTTGCTTTTCTTTTTATTCACAGAAAGAAATGATATTTTATTTGAAATTTAAATTTGAGTTCATTTCAAGAAATTAAAATTAATTTATATTTAGTGTTGAATTTTTTGTCATTTCGTCCTTTCCTTCAGAATTCAATTCATGTATTTTATAATTTCAAATTTGGTATTAATTAATGATTAAGCAATTGTTAGAATATATTTCCTGCTCTATATATAACATAATATACGTTATATTATAACTTTAATCCTTTGTCTAACTCTCGTTAAGCCTTGAATTAATGCCAACTCTATCGGCAAGTATTGAACAATAATTGTAATTCACTTATAATAACCATTAAATGACAAAATCATATGCGAAGCGAGAAATTCTTTGATTTTTAAAAAATTCCCCTTTTGGTGGAAATATTTGTTTAATTGCTATTAATTATTAAATTTTTGAGAAAAATTATTTAATAATTATTCCAAATGTTATTTGAATTTTTTCTTTCATTTCTAATAAAATAAGAAAATAGTTTTCTTAACTATTTATAGTTTATCGACAAAAATATCTAAAGAGCTTTTAATACAACACTATTTCGGTAATGAATAAACAGATGATTTTTAGGGTTTATTTCTGTTTTTGCAAAACTTTTTAAGCACACAAACAAACAAATTAAATGTTTTTTAAAAATGTGAATTATTTTGTGTTTTTAACTCAAAACACTTATTAAAGATGTGTTTGACGTGTAAATAATGTTTTTTATTGAAAACATAAATAAAACATAAAAATATATATTTATTTATTTTTTACTATAACTATTGATCCCATAATATATTTATATGCAGAGAAAATCCTAGAGTTAATTAATGTTTCCAATACTGAAGTTAATTAAAACGAGGGCTCAAAGCCTTGAATTAAAGGCGATCACAACACTCCTAACAGAGTCTCCTTATAATGTATTTTATATGTATTTTTAATCATCACTGACTGACAAATAAACGTTGGATTGGATTTGTTGATGGGTTTAACCAATTTATGAGTCTTTGATTTTTGATTTATAATCTCATTGTCATAGGAATCGATGCATTCATACGGTTCTGTTATTTAGCATTGAATTATAAAATATTTTTAAAAATCAATCTCTCTCTCTCTCTCTCTCTCTCTCTCACTCACTCAATCTCTTCCTCCCTTTCGCTTCATTCTCTCTTCAAAGACATTCCCAAATGCTTTGGTTTCTATATTTCTGTTAATTGAAATTAAATTGAAAAAATGAAAAGAGATTATCATTGAGAAGCAAAAATAGAGATCCCATTCTCGTTGCGATCGAGCCTTTAGTTAACAAAATGCTAACAAAACGCTCACATTATTAAGACATACAAATGACGCAAATAAAGTATGAAGTTTTAGTTAAACATAACTTTTCATACACTTAATGGCTTTCAATAGCGAAACAACTATTTAATACTTATATAATTACTTGATTGCCTCTAACCCTAAACTACACGTGACGTTAGCATTGAATCGCTTGAGCACTGCTTCTGTCGTCTTATAACTCGTAATCACTTTTTCCAATACGTGTTAAACTCGTCGGGATTTTCATCTTTTTTGTTTCCCATTCCCTATACTCACACACATTACACGATCGGCTCTCCTCTCCCCCACCCATGTCTCAGAGTCACAGTTATCACAGTTTCTCACTACAGATAGATAGCCATCAGAATTTGATTTTCAAAGAATTTCATTTTTTTATTCATTTTTTCTTCAATTCATTCTTTGCATTCAATGAGAAACATTTGGTTCTCTTCTCATATGTTTTATAGTAACAGTGGTTTTCTGATCAAATCTACTAAAACTTTATAACAGGTTTTTTGCTGTCAGTATTACATTTAAAGCACACATTCTTATGTATTCATAAAATCTTTTACTGTATATAAAATAAAAAGTTATTTCGTTTTTTAAGTGTTTGTTTTATTCTTTATTCCGTGCTTTTCATGTGCTTTAAAACTGATTTGCAGTTTAGCTCTGAATCTACTTTCGCTTTGGAGTCATTCCATCCCAAACCTCACCGTCAGTATCGCTCATTCAATAGTCAGTCACCGCCCGAACCACCCGTTCCTCTCTTTTTGGTTCATTCGCATCGACTTGTCGTACAAAAGTTGTTGTTCTCCTCTTTCTAGTGATTTCATTACTTTTCTAAAAGAGTTGACGATTTGTTGTGTGTGTTATGTATTTTTAAATCTAAATCATAACCTGTGTTACAATCATTGCTACAAAAATGCTTTTCATGTCAGTTATCTCTAAACTCGAGGAAAAAGTATAATTATTTGTTTCCAACTAATTCTTGTGTTTTATTGATTTTATAAAATGTGTTCAAATATTATTTTTGAGATGAATTGGATTTTGTAATATTTATCGTGTTTTTTATTGTGAATTTTTTGTTAATAGTTTCTATCGATCTCGACGTCTCCGGGAAGGGACCGACGATTTTCGTCGACATCGACGTCGACGACCAGTTCGGTACAGTCGGGTCGGCCCGCGTGGGTGGACAAGGAGTTGGCCGGACGTATACGAGTGCCTCACACTTTTGTCGTGCATTCATATAAACTGCCGACAGTCTGTCAACACTGCAAGAAACTGTTGAAGGGTTTATTCAGACAGGGATTGCAGTGCAAAGACTGCAAATTCAATGTCCACAAGAAGTGTATGACAAAGATTCCGAAGGACTGCGCGGGAGAGGCGCCCATTGAATACGGAGAGAATCCCGACGACGACAGCCTCGAGAAGGACGACGACAAGATTGAGTCCGATTTAGAGAGTGATTGCTATTATGAGAAGGGAAACGGCTCTCAGGAAGAGGATATTCAAACCAAACTACAGGCCGTCACGTATGTTATCGTTTCAATCATTCATTATTTGATTAATTATTGCTACTATGAAAATCACTAGAGAGTAAAGTTGGCTTATTATTAGCAAAATAAATTATTATATCTTTTTAGTTATTATAACTAGGAATCAAATATAGATATTTAGTTAATTATACGTTATATACAGTAATATAAGCTCATTATGATTCTGGAATACAAGAATCGTATAATATATACAGTACTACAGTATATATTATGTAAATCTTTATATGTATATCAAGTGTTTGGTAATGCGATCCGTAAAGACGATTAGTTATCGAGAATTGCTTTCACTTTATTTATTCAATCCAAATGTGTGTTTGAATTGAGTGACTGACTGTGAAGTGGAGTATTGTTATACAATGTATTGATTGATATATAATGTGTTCGTTAAACAGAGAGACGAGTAGTAATAACATCCCATTAATGAGAATTGTTCAGAGCGTCAAACATGTCAAGAGAAGAGGCTCTAAAGTACTGAAGGAGGGATGGGTTAGTCATTACACTAATAAAGACAGTTCTGTAAGTATTCATTCAATCGCTGATTCTCTCTTTCTTTCTCGCTCTTCACTAATGATTAAAAACACGTTAATATGTTTTCAATTGTTTTCTTCTTTTCTATTCCGTATTTCTCTGCAAACAATCTATTGATTTGTGTATATTTTTGTTGCAATTGTAGCGCAAAAAGCATTACTGGAGACTCGACACGAAAGCCATAACAATGTTTCAAAACGAAGGCTCTTCTAAATACTATAAAGAGCTACCTTTGCCTGAAATATCATTAATCAATTGGAATCGATTGCAGTCCCAAACCAATAGTGTTTCCCAGTATTGCTTTGAAATAATTACTGCAAACGTCACGTATTTTGTTGGCGAAGAAGCGGAGATCGCAAAGACTTGGGAGACTGCTATCAGACAGGCCTTAATGCCGATGACTCCCAACACTCACGATATTAGATACCAATCGGGCCAACAAATCCAATCGGGACATCCATCCGATCACAACAGTTCTTTGGATATCAGTTATCAGTACCAGATATTTCCCGACGAAGTGTTGGGTTCGGGACAGTTCGGTATAGTCTATGGCGGAGTGCACAAGACATCCGGCCGTTCCGTAG